CCCCAAAACCCCAAAACCCCAAAACCCCAAAACCCCAAAATATTAAAAAATAAATGAACTTACAAAAATATTCAAGTAAATGAATTTCATTATTCATTATCTCAGTCCTCAAAGAGCAAGAGCCAGACAAGGATTGGTTAACTCAGCATCTCGACTTTATAGGATAACCACGTTTCAAATATTAATATGTATTTCCTTAGGAATTTGTTTAAATCCGTATCATTATCAAGATATCAAGCTGCTTGATTGCACTATGGAAGATGAGTCTCATCATGTAGACTTCGTTACAAAGTCTATCCTTCATGCTATTTACCTGAATACCTCTTTCAGTCTTACTAACTTAGAGACTGATTTGATTCATGCGTATCCAACAAAGGAACAAGTGATCAATACAATGCAGAATTTTGGAGTACACCTTGACGACAAAATTGTGCTTTATAGCCAGCCAAATTTTGTAAAGCATTCGACTAGAGTTTTTCATATACTCAAAGCTTACGGATTTACTGATGTAACAGTTCTAGACGGAGGCCTTCTTAAATATATCCAAGATGGATATCCAACTGCTCCTGGGGTTGGCTACACCGGCCCAGTTTCTCAGATAGAAGATTTAGATAATCCATTCCTATATCTTGCGCAGATGAAGGAAGTTATTGAATTTGCTGAAGGAAAAAACCCAAACATACAACTTATTGATGCTAGAGATGATGAAGAATATTATGGTAACGATCCTCACCTTCCTTCTTACATCAGGCAGGGTCATGTTCCTGGGTCTATTCATATTCCATCTGAAGAATTCCTGAACCCAGATGATACTTTCTTGAAGCCACCAGAGATCCAAAAGATTCTTGAATCTAAAGGAGTTGATAGAAATAAGGACATCATCGTCATGTGTAGAACAGGGCTTAAAGCCACTGTAAACTACTTCGCTCTCAAAATGGTAGGTTACCCCAATGTAAGACTCTATGATGGTTCATGGGTTGAGTACGAAGATAGTAACGGCCCAGCAGTCTACTTCGAATCCTAAACTAAACCTCTAAAAACATCAATAACTACAACACTCCCTGGGGTTTTGGGGTTTTGGGGTTTTGGGGTTTTGGGG